CTGCATGTCAACTAACTCAATAATTTGCAACTGCATGTCAACTTACTCTCATTAGAGTATTAGTAGACTGTTAGGTTAGGGGTTAGGGTTAGTAGAACAAGATAACATGTAGGTACTTGCAAAGTTACTTATACTCAGTAGAATGTCTGTTGGGGGACCATCACAATAAAGAGTTAGCAGATATTAAGCAGACAGTCAAGTTGAAAGTTCCTTATAGTTTTTAGACTTTGGCAATAAAATGTTTCCGTAAAAACATACAAAGGTACATTGAAAAAGATCCAAACGGTCTTTATCAGTCCTCCGTTGGATGAGTATACAGTATGGCCCTCATATATCCATGGTGATATGTGACCATCTCTAGCAATGACTGAGACTGCGTTCAAATGAGGACCCTAAGGGATATTGGAGCATGGCTAAACTCAATCACACCTCTGAAACTGAAGCTGTTGTTTTTCACTGCACCACAGAGACCTTGATTGCTCAAGGTCAGAGGTGTGGATATCCCAAAGACTGTGTTTCACCCTCAGGTAAAAGTGTAAAACAATTAAAAGAACACATTGATATCACTTTAGAAATCTGAATCCTGAATTCAGCACAATTCAACACTGAAAAAGGACAGTCAGCAAGCTTGACACTTTTCAATAACTGCTATGTTTTACCACATTGTGACTATAATAAAACCTATAACTTAAAGGTATAGTTCAGCCAGAAACCAAGGCTCTTCAACTGGGGGTCTGCAGCTGTACTGCAGGGGAAATCACAGTTTTTTTGTTCAGTGCTGAGTTCTGAGCACAATCCTCTCGTTAACAAACAAAGTGTAGACACAATATGCACAATACTCCCCGTTCTGTTGTATCTATTAGTATCTCCTCCTTTCTACAGCCACCAGAAGCGTTACAGCATAAAGGTGAGTAAATGATGACATAATTTTATCTCTTTTTTTTTTGTGAACTGTCCCTTTAATATCATATTACATAATTAAAAAAATTAAGGCCTTATTAATGATATTAATTGTGAGTATCCTATTGGAAATTGTTTTTTTCTGGGACGTTAAAATACTTTCTCTTATCTCCTTCTCTTTAGCTTAATACCGGTATGCAGAGACAATTGTAGACAAGTAAACCATTGGTAGCTTGAGTTCAACAAAAACTGTAAACACTGTGGTTCTATTAAAACATAGTTTTCATATTTTCATTCTTTAAAAAATATTATCTTTTACAATGCTATACCTTGGCAGTAAATTACAAAGAAATAAATTAACACTTTGCGTGAGTGTCTAATGCAAAGGCTGAGGGAGTGACGGCAAGTCATCACATCATTCATTACATTCACATCATTCTCATTTTCCCCTCTTTTAGAAGACTGTGGAAACACTATCATTGATTTAGGTTTCTTTTGCTATCGAAGCAAATTGGAATACAAAAAGTTATATTTGCTGTCATCTCCCTTTCACCATAGAAATGTACCCAACTATGAAGACTTTCGCTTCTGAGACCCCCGTAAATGTGAAAAGGGTCTTTTAATGAGGTCTTATTCCTTATTATTATTTATTCATACAAGTACGGTGGCCCTAAAGGGAGCATGATTATGTAAAAAAAAAAAAATATTAGATGGGAGGAAAAGTTATATGTCTGGGTTTTTGATTTCTCTGGCAAATGTTTTGCATTTGCTCATAAAATGTTTTGTGTTCCCCCGAGAACACAAAAGTTTCACAGGGGAACGCAAACACTTTGCGAGTGAATGCAAAAGCATTTAAATATATTTTTTCCTCCATCTTCAATTGCGTTTTCAAAAAAAGGTGGAAATTAGCACAAGTGCTACAATCTGGTGAAATGCATCTCTCCTTTCTAAGGTTAATATTTTACATTGTCCCTGTCCAAAACGCTGTTGGAAATAAGGAAATAAGGAATACCATGTCGTGTAAACGCCACCTTAAAAGTCTTTGTGCATAGGTCTGTTAATTTGTTTCCGCATCTCTTCATTGCACAATGTTTGCAGTAAATAAACACTGTAAAATAAAATTTTTCTTGAATTTCTAGGGTATTAATGACCCATCCTGATAAAAAAAACCCAAAGAAAACGAACAATTGGAGAAGACAGTAATTAAATTATTAAAATCAAGCGTTTAATGTTTATATGTCTATGTGGTGTTTTAAATATGCTTTAAGACGAACCACGTGCAAAGTATTTTCTCCTTAAAACTCCAGTGAACCAAAGACAGTCTCAAAACCAGTTTGAAATCGCTGGTGTTTTCTGACGTCACACACTACCTTGTAACCAATCAGATCAACGTGTGATCGCCAATGAGTGGATCTCTGAGCTGCTGTGAGTGAGTGGAGGCGGGGCTCATTTGCATATTCATAGAACTGCAAATACTAAATGAGGAAAGGGTATAGTTACATTCAAGCTATTTTAAGGCATAACAAATTTTCAGGGAAAACGTTTCAAATATGACATTTTGGTGATCAAAAATTTGTTTTAAGTGATAAATATGAATAAACACTCTATATGCTGTTTGTGTAAATCATGCCATCAGCAAGCCAGACAAATATGTCAGTAAAATTCAAAGATTGATGAAAGGGGTGGAGAAAAGGAGGAAAAAGAGACGAGAAAACAAAAAGGAGTGAGTGAGACAACAAATCACATTAGCATCAGCACAGAGTCAAAAAATAGATTCCCAAAACTGTGGATCTGTAGAAGTGTAAGGCTGCATCAGAAATCACATACTTCCCCACTATATAGTAGGTGAAAAACACTATGTGACAAAAGTAGTATGTCTGAATTCACAGTATTCATAAATGTGTAGACAAAAAGTATCCGGATGACCTACTACTTCCAGCATGATTCTGAAATGTGCATACGATGGACAATTTAATATCCCATGAGACAATGGGAGAGGATTTGTGAATGACAGTGAAGCAACACAACTGACGCTGGTAGGTCACATGACTGTGACAACATGGGATTACTTTCATAATACACACATCCATCCTAAATAGAAAAAAAAAAAATTCTTAGCGCTCGCAATGTAAGTACTTATTCAAAATAAGTACCAACTCAAGAGAGTATGTGATTTCGTATGCATCCTTGAGTGTGTGCTGATAGTATGGCATGGGTCTGGTTTCAGTTGATGATGTAAGCAGTAGGGGATTGAAGTTCACAAGTAACTTGATTTTCCATTTCAGTGGATAAACACAGACTCATAAACACACACACACACTTACAAAGGTAAAAGTCAAGGCAGTTGATTTGTGTGTGAAATTTGCATGGCTTGGCACACTTTCCCTAAGCAAAGTTAATCAACCGTCACATCTCTTAGACACCTACTGAGAAAATCCTTAACATGCAAAACATGTTCCCTTCCATGTCTTCACACAGACACACACTCACGAAGCATGCGACGGAGCTAACAGTAGATTTGTACACTGATCTCTGCACTATTTGCAAATTCCTTATTTATTTATGTAAATAACAGTATTGATGCAGTTCCTGGAACCAGAACAGTGTGTTGTGTGTGTGTGTGTGTGTGTGTGTGTGTGTGTGTGTGTGTGTGCATCAACAGGAAAGAAAAATGAGATCACTGAGATCATTTAATATATTGTATCTTTAATATGACATATTTGATATGTGCCTACTCTTGCTTGACAAAAGATTACAAAAACATCTGAAACTGGTGAGCAATAAAAAAAATTCCCCTGATGGAGTCTTGCTCTCTTTGGGGGGGGGGGGAGGGGGGGATTTTGTTGCAGTGAGAAGGAGAGGGTAGATTTCTATCACATGACTCCAGGAGTCGTGGCAGGACTCCTGGCATAGGAACACTCAGCATTGGCAGGTCACCTTCCCCTATAAACACACTCAAACAAACCCTTTCGCAGCACTTCTGCCACACTCTGCTGCCGCAAAATGACGTCTTCTACATTCTCCAGCAAAGACTTTCCATTGTTTTGTATAATAAGCTAATTATGTTGGCGATATGAGTCCAAAAGCTCCGGTTACATGTTTGCTCCTTTTTGTAGTGAATCATTCCTTATGAAGACTTTAGTTTTGTGTAATAAAAAGTTAGTTATTTAGTTTTTATTTTTTTACTCTATTGAAGGGCTGTGTCCATAAATCCCTAAATAGCGTCTTTATGTGTCTTTATGATTGAGATGCATGAGAACAAAACAAATAATTTTTTACATAAACTTAGAAGGGGTTGAGCGATTCAAGATACAATACAAATTTTTGATACAATAAATACAACAAAATGTGCAAGTGTGCGAATTTGAGCACAAAAATGCATTTTGAAGCAATGTTTTAAAAGCACAACAAAGCCACAATGTTTACACTCTTCAGGAAATTTATTTGAATAATTATTTTCCTTATTTGACTCTCAACATTGCAAAAGTTGACCAAACTTTTTTCCGGCAATCCATGTTCTCACTGTTATATGGTAGGGGGCACTATTATGCATCTACTATTAAGCATAACACAGTCGAAGAAGAAGCAAGCGTTTGAAGCATTGCTTACGCGTGTAAAATAATGCAATCATCAAACAACATACAAATCAAAACATTACCAATGAAATGTCAACCCAGGACGAGCTACAGGACTGTGCAAGTTTTGGGGGCGTTGATGGACTCGATCTACTCCATCTATGTTTTGGTCTGGATGAAGTGTTTGACCAAAAGATGATTTTCTCAGCTTTTTGTTCATAATATTGCTTTTCTTAATGAAACTTACCCACATTCAAGTGTTGATATAAAATGAATGCATGGAACTAAAATAAAATGTTTTTAGTTTAAATGCAGAGGCTCTGTTCATTATTTTGATATATTGCATGTTCAGATATGCATACAAGGAAATATTCTGGGGGCCATAAATGTTTTTTAAAATGATCAAAAATGCTGGCGCTGGCTGGCGACTATTTTTCTAAAACGCTGGCGGGAAAAGAGTTTATAAACATCACAATGATCATCATTGTGGTGAGCCTGTGTATGTGTTTGTAAGTGAGCACATACCTCAAAATCGTTGGCCTTATTGTAGTGCATGTTAAGCACTTTGTAGAGCGCCGAATCACAGCTCACTCTGATGTCATCCGCTGCCACCACACCGTCATTTATGGCCTGCCGGGCAAACTTCTCAATCTGGATGTAGTAGAACTCTCTGAAGTTGCTGAACCACTTTATCAGCTGAGATGTGATGCACCTGTTAAACTAAGACACACATAATGTTAAATATTAATGAGTTACATTAGGTTTTAAAGAATCTCTATCAGTCTGCACTCACCTTCACATCTGAGAAGTACATCTTGAGCATGCTGGAGCTTGGGTACCTGCTGTAGAAGAACATCAGTTTGGCCTTCTTCAGGTGACTTGGGGACAAGCCCTCCTGGATGTGAGACCAGCAGTGAAGGAAAATAAGCCCAATGCTAAGGCACAAGATTTGCTTGACATTATAGTCTCATCACTCAAGGTGTCGGCTCGTCACGTTCAATAAAACATAAAAAAAACCACACCAACATATTTTACATCAGAAACTCATTTTACAGGCAAAGCGAGCAACGTCTTTCCCTATGCCCTGATCCCAAACCTCCAGATGTCAAAGAGATAAATATAGTATTTGCATATCACCTTCAAATGTGTTTGTAACCTTCATTTTACCAGGGACTGAACACAAATATAGCGGTAAGGGCTTTGGGAGGATCTTTTGGGCATGGCATAGGATTGTTTTCCATAGGTGACAATAATCTGACCCGACACTCTTAAAAATAAATGAAGATTACGGTTACACTTTATTTTACAGTACGTGTACTTTTTTTGTATATACTGTTATTGTAATTGCTATAATAAGTACATTGTGTGTACAGGCTTATGTACTCAGTATTGAAATTTGTTAAATTTCAGAGGCTGAGCGAGTAATTACATTTCAGTTCAATTTTAATTAATAATAAGATGAGACAAATATAAGGGAATAATGCGCACTAACTCAAAACATGTTTTAAGACGTAAATAGTAACTAAAATTAAGTTCAAATCAAAGTTTTTATGAAATGAAAATTTCCGATGCTTGATGTTATTAAATGTATAATAAATCTACAAAGGTCTACCATGTTAGATGTTTGCAGGGAAACAAGCAGTCTGGCTAACTGTCTGATCTTTTTGCCAACACTGCACATTTTCCTCTATACTTTCAGCATCCATCAATAATCAAGATAAGAACACATTGAAAGTTCAAACTGCACTGCGTGTGACACTCCTGGCGTTGTCCTGCACTGACCTCTGCCAGACAACAAAATTGCTGACAGGGCAAATTCTCCAGACAAAGAGGGCCGAGCTGCCTCCTTTAAGGCCTCTCTGAGCTCTGACATCAGCACACAGCATTTTGTGTGACTGTTAAACAAAAAAACTCAACCTCTGCCAATATAACAGTGGACGAACAGAGGAGCTTTCATCTGCTAAAAAAGCCAATAACAAGCCATGTTGTTTAAATGTATGTTTATCTGAATCAGAACTTAATATAACAATATCTCCAATCCACCAAATTCATCTGTATAATGGGGCAAACTACATTTCAAAGTCACAGTTTGAGCCTGCAATATTATTTTGTACATGCCCCAGACCTCTGTTTTGAATCAAAAGCATCGTGAGCTACCATGTTGTGGTCACCATTGTGCTGAAGAGTAGCGCTGTCAATTGCGATTTTCACTTTGACGTAACTAAATGTATATTGTATAAAATCATAATTTCTCATTGAAACAAAATTTGCCGATCATCAGAGCAGGTGCGCATGTGTTGAATGTGTCCATCCTGAGCTTTATTGGAAATTGTGTGATGGGTCAACGTAACTTAATTAAGTTAAAACAGCATTCCCTTTATTAAGGCCTGATTGCAGTATAGGTTATAAAAACAATTTGAATTTGTAGGTAGAATCAGGTAGAAATTCCTCCTTAAAGGAAAATCTGTACATGTTCACTTTTTACAGTGTATATAAATAAATGCTGTTGAATGCTAATTCTGATTCTAAGACATTCTAAGGTGTGCAATTATTTTCCAGTAAACGCACAGCTATGAAGTGGTTCCAAATCTGTCAACCTTACAGATCCATATCACTTTGCCAAGTTACTTATTTCAAAGACTCTTGCTGCCAGAACCAAAACCACAATGACATCAACCAAGGCAAACTATTTCCATTTTTTAGACGAAATTACTTATGTAAAGCACAATAAATCTTTCTCTTGCTCTCTCTCGCACACTTGCACTCACACAGTCATTCTGCCCTACAACTTTATCAATAATTTCTACACAGCAAAATCCCCAGAGTTAAATTAACTCTGCTCAGAGAACATTTGGTTCCTCACTACAGAGAGTTAAAATAACTCAGAATAAGATTGAAAGTTAATGAGATACTTAAGTGATTAAATAAGTTATGATTGGGCATTAAAGTGATGAACACCTGCTGTCAACAAGCAGAATCACTGAGGGAAAGAGAAACGACAAGAACAGAAAAAGAGAAACACAAGAACTACAACTGACTTCCAGCCACAGCCTTAGATGAAATCAAATGAAGACAAAAGACATTAAATCTCTCAACATCTCAGCAGAGGAGGATTAAACAACTTCACAAACAGCATTAGCAGCTTCACTTATTAGCAGCTAATAAGCATTAGCAGCTTCACTAACAAGATTGACTTTATTTGACTTTTTTTTTTAATTTACATTTATGTGTTTTTCAGTAAAGGGAAAGATGTTAGTAGGTTATGTTCAATGTTTAATGTTCAGGTGGATATTTAGAGGAGTTTCTGTTATTGAATGTTGTGGTCACCATTGTGCTGAATAGTAGCGCTGCTGCTTAGGCTGTGGACACTCAGTTAACCATGTTGTTGGTACTACTTACACCTATTTATTGCTATTTGTTCAATTAATGTATTGATCGTGTTGATAAATAACAATACTTGTTGGAAATTTAAGTCTTAGAAATCCATAAAAAAAAATGTTGTTTGACTACTGTAATGATCAAAATGTTAGTGTTAATTAATGTGACCTAAACCAACTAAATTGTATAGACCAAATAAAATGGTTTATTTTGAACTTACTAAATTAAATTGTGTGTAAAGATGTTTTCAATTAAATTGAAATAATTGAAAGGTTAATTATTTTTTGGGTATATTTACATCAAGGTGGAAAAAAGACTTAGCCTACATCATATAAAACAAAAAATATTATATCAAACGTATTAAGTAATTTGACCTAGCTGGAGAAATCAGGTATCTACTCTACTGACAGTTATTCTTCAGTAAAACTCTACGGTAAACCTTGTTTTTCTTTTTCAGGTTGGTTGAATTTACTTATAATCAGTAATCTTAAATCATTTATTTAATTTCAACAAAACCAGTTATTGTAGATAACCCACATGAAGTACATTGAAAACAATTTTTTGTCAGTTCTACTTAGTGTAAACTCCATGACCATAAACCAAATTCAACTGCATTGTCCCATTTGGACACAATCCAATCCCAAAGTTCTACATCCAAATCTGAAGCCATTCTTTCTATTGTTCAATAAAACAAAATATCCATAAAAAGAAAAGTACATTCACTTCTATTCTACTTGGCTACTGATTAACATTAACATGGATGACATCAGGCAAAAAGCATAGTAATTTCAGAGATGGAGTGAGTAAGAACATTTCAATTGTTTAAGACGTACATATTAACTAAAGTCAATTGTTATGTCATGTTGACTTTAAGACCTAATATGTTGAGTTCAAAACTAACTGCTTTAAAATTGGCTTGAACTAGAAAGGCATTTGGGGCAGAAGTTCCTTTACACTATAATGAAAAACTATGGTTACACTTGTAAACGAGAGAAGCATGAGAAAAAGTGAATTGTACAATCTAAAACACCAAAAAAATAGCTTTCACTACTATGAAAAGGATATTGTACTCTCTGAGAGTGGCGAGATGTCTGACAGTGGATTGAGTTCCCTACATTCAGACTTGACGAGTGACAGCCCTTCACCAGTGCTTTCTGAGAAACCTGGTGAGCAGGAACGGTCATGCATCAGATGGTGACTGGAAGTCATTCTTTTCCGTAAGCTGGTGGTCTCCCTTGACAGATCCATCAAATCAGGAGATTCTTTACTAGAGTATCCTGTTGATGAAGCACCAAGAGTGCTCTGAAAGGAGTAACCCATGAGAGGAAGCGGAAATGGATGACGGAATGATGGGGAGATGAAGCCTGTGTTTCCAGAAAGAGAAGAAGTGTGTAGGGAGGGATGTGGGTGGCCACTTTGTGCTCCAAGATCTGTGGACTGGTGGTGTTCAGATACAGACTTTTGTACCACCAGTGGTAGTGCCTCCATCTGGTCATTGGCACTAGGAAGAGGGACTCCAACAAAGGAGTCAAATGGCCTGGGAAAGATAACATCACCAAAACACTGCAGCATCTGATTAGCAGTGTGGAAGTTTGGGTTGTCCCCATTAAAAGCAAAGCGGTCCTGGGTTGCTGGAAGTGATGGGAATACTTGTAACCGTGGCCGTGGAGGTTTTGAAAAAACATTCACCACGGTGTCTATCACTTGAGACATGGCAGAGTTCAGCTCCTGCTTCAGGGTTTCTGCCAGATGCTTGCCTACTTCGTGCATAGACATCAAACCTTTGCTCCTCAAAGAACTCTCCCGTTTGGCCATCTCTCCATCTAGCAATACTTGTTCACTGAGCAGGACCCTCGCCTCATCTAGAACGCATTCCGGATCTGAAGCCGCTATCAAATTATTAGTTTGATCAGCCACGTAACTTTGGTGTTCAGCGATACCGCCATGACCAAGCATTCCATCAGATTGTGCACTGTCTTCTGAGAGATTCCCTCCATCTGCTTCAGAATCTGTGCTGTCATAGATCTGGAAGAACTTCTCCTGAAGCTGTCTCAGCTGTTTCTGCAGGTCTTCCAACTGTAGTTTCAACTGCCTGCGTTCTTCAACCTTCTGCTCGGTATGTGTGGAAACCAGCTGCTGAAGGCTCTGCTGCTGCTGCTGAGGTAATTTTTGTTTCCTCTTGTTCTCACGATAGCCTTCTCGTGGGCTAAAGGACTGAGCAGGAACCTCGGTTTCTCCCTCTCCATCCCGCTCACAATCTTTTCCACTGGGGATAGAGGGTGTCATCGCATTTGGTGAGTGGTTCATTCCACGAATTATGTTCTCGACGCGTGCACGCTTGGCCTGAAGGTGCTCTTCATTTAGCCGCTCCGAGTCAAAATGGGTCCCTACGATTTGTCCAAATGGTGAGAGACACTCTTTAGCACTCTCCTGGGATGAGCTGCTGCAAGTGTCCTCCTGTGGTGGTTCAGGTTCTGCTTTCCTGGGGAACATTGGCTCCCTGCCTCCTGTTCCTCTCGTTGCCTTGTTGCTGTTCAGTAGCTTGGTGATGATAGTGGCACCAGAAAAGGGTATCATGTTGTCTTCATATGAGCTGGCCCTTTTAAGCAGTTTGCGGAGAACATTTGACTTAGCCTCACCTGAGTCCCGATGCTTGAGATGAGCCCCTTGGCACTCAACCACATCCTGCTTCCTACTGTGATGGGAGTTCATGGCATCAAAGTTGACAGTAGATTTGGCTGCACGAGTGACAGTGATGACAGCAGAAGCTGTATGTGTTGATGTGGCTGCTGAGCTAATCCTCTTCACCCCAATGTCCACTCGTCTTCTCTTGGTCTGTAGATTTAGATGGAACTCTGTGTCATGGGCTGGCGTTTGTGGAGCTGCTGTTGACCCATTTCCCACAAGCCTGAACTATCAAACCATTATCACGGTCACCTACTGACAGAAAAACAGAACAAGTGAGGCAAACAATAAGGTTTTTGTACTGGAATCATAAAACTAGAATATTCTCAAATCTTTGTGCAATAAAGTGTCCACATGTTAAAAAATCTAAAACAAATATTTGCAAAAATATAATATGGCTCATTATATTTAATATAAATGCTATTAGGAAGGGGAGAGAAATTAGGAGTTAGCATTACAGGCCAGTACAGTATAGTTTTTTTCCTCTTCATCCTCTTTCTGTAATTTGTTTAGCCAGAGAAAATGTGACTTCAATCTTTCTATTTGGCCACCTTTTTTTCTTCCACTTCTGCAGTTATCTTTCTCTAGTTGCATTCACTCATTTCCCAAAGTCGTCTTGAATGTTCAATTGTCAATACAACTGAAAGATTTTAACATTAAAAAAAAAATGAAATAAAAAATTGATTGATGCTCAATAATAAATAATAAAATGCAAATAATAATTAATGTTTCTTGAGCAGCAAATCAGCAAAAAATATAAATTATAATTATTCCTGAAAGATCATGTGGCACTGGAGTAATGATGCTGAAAATTCAGCTTTGATCACAGGAATAAATTACATTTTAAAATATTCAAATAGAAAAGAGATACTTTTACAATTTAAAATAATTCACAATATTACTGTTTTTGCTGTATTTTGGATCAAATAAATTAAGCCTTAGTGAGCAGAAGAGACTTCTTTTAAAACATTATAAAATCTTACCATTCTAATAATTTTGGCCACCACTGCATGTATGTGTATATATATATATATATTTATTTATTTATTTTTTGTCATGTGAAATAATGATCTTCTAAAATGTTGTTGACAATATCTTGCAATTGCCCGAGTCACACACAGACTTCAGCATGCAAAACAAAATAATGGTAACAATAACATTTTATTTATTATTTATTCTATTTAATATTTTATTGTTTTTATTCTATATTATATTAGTTATAGTTACTAGAACTCTTGTGTAAGCGAACTATACTAAATAAACATTTGTCAGTAAAACATACTATTCCTTTTTCACTTTACATATTTTTTCAAGGCAATCGGTTTGTATGCTTTTTTTTTTAAAGTAAACTAACTAATTAGATTTTATAGTGTACCTGTACAATCCCCACTAACATATATATATATATATATATATATATATACACTCACCGGCCACTTTATTAGGTACACCTGTCCAACTGCTCGTTAACACTTAATTTCTAAGCAGCCAATCACATGGCGGCAACTCAGTGCATTTAGGCATGTAGACATGGTCAAGACAATCTCCTGCAGTTCAAACCGAGCATCAGTATGGGGAAGAAAGTTGATTTGAGTGACTTTGAACGTGGCATGATTGTTGGTGCCAGAAGGGCTGGTCTGAGTATTTCAGAAACTGCTAATCTACTGGGATTTTCACGCACAACCATCTCTAGGGTTTACAGAGAATGGTCCGAAAAAGAAAAAACATCCAGTGAGCGGCAGTTCTGTGGGCGGAAATGCCTTGTTGATGCCAGAGGTCAGAGGAGAATGGCCAGACTGGTTCGAGCTGATAGAAGGGCAACAGTGACTGAAATAACCACTCGTTACAACCGAGGTATGCAGCAAAGCATTTGTGAAGCCACAACACGCACAACCTTGAGGCGGATGGGCTACAACAGCAGAAGACTCCACCGGGTACCACTCATCTCCACTACAAATAGGAAAAAGAGGCTACAATTTGCAAGAGCTCACCAAAATTGAACAGTTGAAGACTGGAAAAATGTTGCCTGGTCTGATGAGTCTCGATTTCTGTTGAGACATTCAGATGTTAGAGTCAGAATTTGGCGTAAACAGAATGAGAACATGGAACCATAATGCCTTGTTACCACTGTGCAGGCTGGTGGTGGTGGTGTAATGGTGTGGGGGATGTTTTCCTGGCACACTTTAGGCCCCTTAGTGCCAATTGGGCATCGTTTAAATGCCACGGCCTACCTGAGCATTGTTTCTGACCATGTCCATCCCTTTATGGCCACCATGTACCCATCCTCTGATGGCTACTTCCACCATGTCACAAAGCTCTAATCATTTCAAATTGGTTTCTTGAACATGACAATGAGTTCACTGTACTAAAATGGCCTCCACAGTCACCAGATCTCAACCCAATAGAGCATCTTTGGGATGTGGTGGAACGGGAGATTCGCATCATGGATGTGCAGCCGACAAATCTGCGGCAACTGTGTGATGCCATCATGTCAATATGGACCAAACTCCCTGAGGAATGCTTCCAGCACCTTGTTGAATCTATGCCACAAAGAATTGAGGCAGTTCTGAAGGCAAAAGGGGGTCCAACCCGTTACTAGCATGGGGTACCTAATAAAGTGGCCGGTGAGTGTATGTCAAGTCTTCCCTATATTGTTAAAAACTGTAGAAAGGGAAGCATTTTCCCAGAATGACAGTGAAACAAAATACAATTAACCATAAAAAAATTGCCCAACTTCATGTGAGGCTTCGTGCATTCAATAAATAAATGGAAAAATCTAAAAATAGGCAAAAATAAAAGGCAGCTGCTCAACCAATTTAACGAAAAAAAAAAACTAAATCAGTTTCAAACTGCAGAAGAAAAGTGTAACACTCACTCTACAAACTGCAGAAGAAAAGTGTAACACTCACCATACAAACAAAGACTTGACTTTATTTCATTGACTTTATTTCTGACAATATGGCCAACTTCAAGACATTCACCACTCATCTTAAGATCTTTCTTTTTCTTACTTCTGAAGTTTATACATCTTAAAACTGATTTTAACTCATTGCCAATATCTTAGAAACATGCTCTTTTATTCATAGGGGTTTCATACACTTTTGAAAAACTTGTATACCGTTTTTTTTTTTTTTTTTTTTTTTACGAAACTAACAATTGTCCAAATAACCATACATTAAAAGTAATAACATTTAAAAATAAGTAATTTTTAAAACTATTTCTTAAATATTTAATATGTGTGAGTTTAAACAGCTTTATCATTTAAAAAAAAAAAAAATCTAAGAAATAATAATGATGAAATATTATGCCAAAAGGGTGTCCTCTTAAGAATGAACTTCTAAAATATTTGTTCCTTCATGATGCCACCAGGACAGTTGTATAACATTTTTTACTTAAAAACATGCTCATAGCCTAAGGGAATTCAAGTGCAGACTGCTTTTAAAGCATTTTTCAATAAATTAATACATGAGGGATTTTATCTATTAAAAATTATCTTCACTTTATTGACCTATCAATGTTTATTTGTGTGAGTTAATGTTACACCATTGTCACATTATCAATTCGTATCAAAACAGATCAATTCGTCTTAAATAGCCTATACACCGCAGCTTTCCAAATGAGCAAAACTACAACCATATCAAAATCAAACGTTTCTGATGAAACATCAAATTGCTCTCTCTAAATTCCGCAGAAGAGGACAACGAGAAAAACTATAGGCTACTAAAGCTCTGGTCAAATAGCCACGACCATTGCGCTTAAGGTGACCGTTTACGTTTCCAAACTCTAAAAAAACCTGAAATATAATTTAGCCTACAATGTTCAGCATCCCAAACTCGAAATGTCTTTAAAATAAACAGAGCTTGTGAAAAAGAAAACAACAATCGCGTAAAAATCCAAAAGAAAAATCAGTTTAAAAGTAGAAGTGAGAGAAGAGAGTGTGTGTTTTCAGAGGAATCTGCTCAACAAAAATGTGAACGTCAGTAGATTGCAACTAATTCATTGTCATCCAGGACAAAAAGGTCACTTACCTTGCAAATGACTGGAGAAAAAGCTGCAGTGGTTTGTGAGATGACTAACAGAATATGATATCAGATCTTCTAGGGCGAGGCGGCATATGGTTGAAGCAGAACATGAGCGTTGAGTTGTGCGCGCTCTCCTCCAGCTGTAAACGCGCTTAAACACACAGATGAAGGAAACAGAGACTGCGCGTCATTCAATCAGTGTGATGTAACGCCGAACCTACCAATCAGAGCAATGAACCCAGCGGGATATTCCAATCGTGCATTCAATTGACTAAATAAGTAATTTCACCTGAAATAACTAACTTTTAAAAATGAGTTGAATCTAGTAGAATATAAGTAGGCCTATAACTTAAAAAAGTTTAAAATTGCCTAACATATTTCAATGAGTTAAAGATGAGTTTATGACTTATAAAGATCATATGGGACAAAACAGTTTATCAGAGCAGCCCGTTAGGGCATGGGAACCTGCTCCCCTCTCAAGTTCCTCTATTTGTCGACAGCATGGTGTGTTCATGAATAAAATAATTAATCTAAAATCTTTCTCTGGTGAAAGACACAAATATGAGGGATGATAACATTTTACAGTACATTACAGTACACAGTACATAATCAAAAAACAACTTTGAATTGATTTTTAGGAAAAAAAGTGCACACCTTTGAAATTAAACTCCGTTCAGTGTTCAGGCTACACTATAACGGGCAATCATTTGTCCTTGCTTATCTTTTATCTGTATCTTTGTTTCTTCATGTTGTTTTGCTAGCGATGTGGAATTATTCCATATCATGCAAATTAACTATTTAAAAAACAATTGAGTACCAGGTTCAAAAGGATTATACAGAACAATAAGATCAAGATCTGACAAATCCAAGTTAAGTTATGTTATGAAAAGCTATCATCAGACAGAATAACTGAGGACAAATATTATTTCAAATATAGATCATTAGGTCATGATTGTGATGAACAAGCAGCTGGTAATCATGCCAGTTTTGCCCAAGGGAGGCTGGCAGTCTATCACTATCACTTTTCTCATGACACGAGACAACACTAGCATTAAATGAGAAAAGACTGCGTGATAGAGAAAAACAGAGAGTCTGATGTGCAGCACACTTAATGGCCAACTAGCAAACACAACTGGAGTGCAATGACATACAGGCCACTAATCTGAGATGGTCATCTTAGCATTGATTAGTCAGGATTATAGTGACCCTGTCAAAGCACAGTCATGTGATTCTATCTATCTATCTATCTATCTATCTATCTATCTATCTATCTATCTATCTATCTATCTATCTATCTATCTATCTATCTATCTATCTGTCTATTTGTCTGTCTGTCTATCTATCTATCTATCTCCACTTCGTGTTGGGGTTCTCATCACCCTGTCGGGGGTTTATTATATAACAACTGGCTACATGTATATTATCCCTTACATATTGAATAATACATAAGGAATTGCCACTTTTCATAAATTGAAATATATATTTACAATTCTGTATATTTACACTGTAAAACGTGTGAATCCATGGCTCTATATAAGTTCAGTGATTCTGGTCAAATGATTGTGATATAATGATAATGTTAAAACACAATCAAATAATTTTTTTCTCTTTGTTCATCTGACAGGTATAACTCAAGTACAGCAGCCAAACAAAATCTAAAGTTAATGATTTAAGGGTCAAGAGCCCAACTAAAGCAAACACTGATCTCCATAATGATAACATACCAATTATGATTTTCTCCTTCAGGGATTCTGCTTGTTAACATCGTCTTCAATAATGGTTAATCATCACTCAATTAATTACTATCTACAGAGAAATAACAGAGCAGAGAAACACTGATGTTATGCTGCATGTTGCTTTATTTATATATAGTATATATTATATTATGTATAGTCGCAGTAAATCATACGTGTAGTGAACTGCAAGAAATTAACTTTTTACAGTGAATGTTTTTGTTTGTAAAAATTCAGGAAATATATGTGAAATAACTGTTTCTGTTAAAACATTCAATGAAGATTTCTGTAAAAGTTTGCACTTTATTCAAATTAGGATATTTTACATTCATTTTACGTTTTTTTTTGTATGGCAGCCGCTGCTGACATTCACTTGACCTTTTTTTATGGGGTTTTTTTTTGTTACAGTGAAGGTGTTTGATCATAATATTTCAGGAAATGGCTGTGAAATAACAGTGTTTTTCTGTAAAACATTTAAGGAAAATGTCTGTAAAAGTTTATTTGACTTTATTTTACACTGTAAAAAAAAATCCTAATTTCACAGAAAATAACTGTGATTTTTTGACGATCATTTTCTTTCAATTTAAATTGTACTCAAAACACTGTAAAATTACAAATAATATCTGTAAAATAAAAATGCAGCTGATATTTTAGGTATTGTGACATTAATGACAAATTCCAGTCATTCACATTTTTATTACAGAAAATTGATTGTATTTTTCATACAATATTTTTCTATTTTCTTAAATTACATAAAAATGTATGTAAAATTACAAATATAATCTGTAATTAAACGGTAACAAAACAGTTAAATGATTACATGACTGGCAGCCCAAAAAAACTGTAACATTTAAGTAAAACATCATCAATTAAATAAACTGAAAAACACTGTTATTTACAGGTATTTCCTGCATTATTATGATCAAATACCTTCATTGTAAAAAAATCATAAAAAAATGGTCAAATGACTGGCAGCTATGGCTGCAAAACAAAAACCATAAAATTAAAGTAAAATATTCAAATTTAAATAAACTGAAAAAACACTGTTATTTCACAGGTATTTCCTTCATTATAATGATCAAATACCTTCATTGTAAAAAAATCGTTAAAAAAAGGGTCAAATGATTGGCAGCAAAGGCTGCCAAACAAAAACCATTAAATTAAAGTAAAATGTGTTAATTTAAATAAAGTGCAAAAAACTTTAACAGAAATTTGATGTCACCGTAATTGAGATCAGTGTTTGCTTTAGTTGGGCTCTTGACCTTTAATTTTATACCATTAGTTTTTTTCTGGCTGATTTAACTGTGTATTCGATATACATTAGTTATAGCAATTAAAGCAGGAGAAAGTATCAACTGATGTTGGTCATTTATTGGTATGTTATAATCATCATATGGTGACCTGATTCACTGATATGACAGTAAAATACTTAAGTGTATCTGTTGAGATTACGTTATAAATAGACGTGCTTAAGTTTTAAATAAATTCTATGATTGTCATACTTTTCCCCATGAACCTTGATATGTTGAAATAAGATTACTCCAATCTGAAATTTATGAAAAATATCTATTATAAAGAAAATGTTTGAGCTGGTTTATTTTTTTATGAGTATGACATCAATAATCAACATATGAATCTCAACAATGGTGACAATCAACAAAGCCTTTATGTGACTTTATAGTAGTTGATCATCATTGTAGTGATTCATACGCTGATTCTTGATGTATGTGTGAGTAGGGCTGCACGATTAATCGCACGATATTGTTATGCGCATCTAATCAGTAAAGCCGGTTCCTTGATTAGTAGTAAATCACCTTCACCTGCTTTCAGATGGAGCGGCATTTACTACAAAGAGCCGTAGTTCACTGACAAGCTGAGCCAAATCGCGTTAAAATCGAGGACATATCGCCAACGATATTTAATGCGATATGGCTCAGCTTGTCAGTTAACTACGGCTCTTTGTACACAGCAAAAACTCACTGTTAAATGAACACACCTGGGAGTGTATATGAGTCCACACTCAAGAGTGTTAAAGTTAATGAGATATTTAAGTGATTAATTGAGTGATGATTGAGCATTATTGAAGACACCTAAAGCAGAATCACTGAAGGAGAAAACCGGAATTTCAGGTCACCATTATGGAGATGAGTGTTTGCTTTAGTTGGGCTCTTGACCCTTATATTATTAACTTTAGATTTTGTTCGGCTGTTGTATCCGAGTTATACCTGCCAGATGAACAAAGAAAAAAAAAGATCTAATGGTGTTGGTTGTAT